AATGTATACAGCACTCTGTAAATCAACAAGAAAAGGGCATAAACTTAAATGGAAAATGGGCAAAAGGTTATGACCAGGCAATTCAGAAGAGAAGCTTGTGTAAATGTGGTAAGAGATGCTCAAAATCAGTAGCCATCAGAGAATTGAAAATAGCAACAGTGATATTAGCACATACTAAGGATGTTGGTAAAAAATAGAAACTTCAATAATACCAGACTTTGGCGGAGATGTGCACTAGGTGAGAGTGGAAATTGTGATTGCCATTTAAGAACAATCTTGCAGAATTTAGTGAAATTGTCTGCTTTCCCTGTGTCCCTGCAACCATAACTGAAAAATTATTGCGCAGACCCGTAAAAGGACCTGTAGAAGGATCTTCTTCACAGTGTTGTTTGTGGTGATAGAAAGCCACGTGTCCATCATTAGGGGGGTATATAAATAAAATAAAACACACACTAGTAAGCAGGCAGCATTCAGAAGAAATTAAGGCAAAGTACTGGATAAAAAAAGTAATATAGAGAATGAAATTTACAGCTTTGGTGACCATACGTCTCCGTCTATCTAGGCCGTTCCAATTCATACACGCTGTCCCAGCAAAAATATTAATAGCACTATCTTTCACTGTCTATAGTTTACACAATATATTGTATGACCATCTTATCTGTGAATAGTAAATAAAAAAAAAAACACTCAAAACCACATTATTTGTTTTTGCTACACACATATCTAAGGACATTCACTGGGAAGGGGATTTATATTAGGATGACAAATGAGACAACGGAAATAAAATAAAAACAAATGAATGACACCACACTATACAACTAAGTATAAAACACTGCTCTTTGCTCTAAGGTAAAAAGTGATTCTTGACTATAGTTTGAAAAAAATTAAACACTTACAGTACTTCTGGTACTAAAAATGTGGTAGCTTGGGCTGTTACTGGAATACCTGTGGAGGAAAAGGTCAAATATAAATATTAAAACTAATTTCTCCTCCAAATAAGAGGGATTGTATAGCAAACCCTTAAGTTGACATAAGTGCAGAGGGAAGTTTTGCATATGACAGAGGCAATATTCAATAAATGGAACTGGAAAACGGAACTGGACTCATAAGGAGAAAGAAATGATTGCAGCCCTACCTTAGATCATTAAAGGAAACCAACTCCGTCGGGATACGAAATGTCAAAAACAAAATGTTAACGCTCTTAGTAGAAAATGTAGGTACATATCTGTTAGACCTTGAGCAAAGGAAGAATTCGTTCAATAAGACATCTACCCTGACTTTTGCCTGCAACTTTGTCTGCACTAATTATCTCAATGAATTTAGTATTCTCATCCGTTATGAATGTAGACCAGGGGGTGTCAAACCATGCCTTACAGGTCCAATTCCACCTGTTTGTTTTTATAATAGAGATTCATTGGCGCACAGCCACATCCCCTGGTTGGCTATTGTAAGGGTGTGCATGAATCCCTAAAATGGCAGAGTTGACTGCATCATCTGTAAAGCCCCAAGTATTTACTACCTGGTCCTTTCCGGAAAAGTTTGGTGACCTCTGGGGTACAACATAAAGTTTATACGACACCTAGAATTCACAGGCCATCCTTAATAATATCCCCTATCCTTATTTATTGATCCATTGTTTGCCAGGCCTATGCTGGGAGCTAAATATATCTTTGCATTCAAGCCTCACGACAACCCCGTGAGGCAGGTTTCATCTTCTTCACCTTATAGAGGAAAAAATGGAAGCTTACAAAGCACCAGAAACCATCAACCACCTAGTCATCCTAGGGAAGTGCCCTCGCTCCCTGCCTCCACTCCCCGGTGGTGGCGACTTCTGGGTTCTCGTTTGCTCCGCTCGTCTCCGGCGGAACGAGAGCGCGGCAGGAGGAAACGAGTGTACGGATTCGCGGGGGCTCAGCTGTGCACCCGACAGCCACGCGAAGTCACCAAGACCCTGGAGTAGCAGAGCCCTAGCACTGCCCCTCACTCCCGCCCCATTCATGGAAAACTGGCGGAAGGGGGCGGCGGGGCGCCGGGGCTGGGGGCCGGGAGCTGGGGCTCGGGGCGCTGGTCCGCAGGGGCGGGTGGGCCAGGACGCCAGGGCGCGGGGGCGCGCCCTGCCCGGTGTCCCAGGGCGCCTTGGGCGTCTCTCTACCTCCACAGGGCCGAGCCGCAGCAGCTCAACCACGACAGCAACACCGCCACTCCCTGGGCCGACATGGCGCCGGGATGGCGTCCGCCCAACGGCCCGGGCCACGCCCACCCTGCCCCCGCGCGTTCCCCGGGGTGCCGGCGGACCAGCAGAGGAGGTGTCCGGAGCCCGGCGCCGCAGGGCGGGGTCGAGCCCCACCCGCGAGGGCCAGCGCGCAGTGCGCATGCGTGCCAGCGCGCCGCTACCTGCGCTATCCCTGAGCTTGGTAGTTGGTTGGAGGAGGAAACGTAAAACCAGACGGGAGGAAGGGCAGAAACCGTGCTTTTTGGGAGTCAAAGAGCAAAACCACTCCGGAAAATCCCAGTTGACGGAACGAGGGTGAAGCTTTTTAAGTTCCTGCATCCTTTAGCCCAAGTCTTCGTTGTGACTGTACATAAATATTGCAATAGCGAATACACATCTGGCAGTGCTTTCCAGGATCCAGCACTCTAGAAGTGGTTTTTAAGTTCAACAGAAATGAACAGTAACGGGGACTTATTGAGCACCTACTTTAGGCCCAACGCCACCTCGTGCACTTGAGTACAAGGAAATATGACGGCTTTCTGGTTTACAAAGGGGTTTGTAATCTTGTGGTAAAGCTAAGATAAACAAACACCACAATTTTCAGTTTTCTAATTTATGTTTGTTAGTAGACCAAATAATCTGAATCCTTGAGTGCTGCAACTACCTTTACTCCTCCTTATCCTCAGTGCCCAGTACCATCATGGTTTGTAGTACGTCCTCAAGGTTTACCGACAAGGAATCATTGAATAAAACCAGTATAATACTGAAATACGCTCTAGGGACCATTAGAGAACGTGATTGTGTGTATACGATATATATGTAGTAGACATTGCATTTAATGTTTACATGAGGCTCTATTCGCACTTTTCCCCGAAGCATCTTTATATCAGAATTAGCTGTCATAGTTGATTTGTGTTGCAGTTGGAAGAGCATTAGATCAGCAGTTGATACAGTTTACTCTAGAAGCTAGGCGCGATTCAAACACTAAAGAGTGGAATGTACAAAAAGGGCCTGGGCTCTGGGCTCTCTCGGTGCCAATCCAGCCCGCACTAGAGCAAGTTAACTTTTAAATCCTATAAAATAAGGGTAAGAGAGTATTACTTCCCTTACGTGGTTGTGGAATTTAAAAGAGCTAAGTGCATCACAATATTTGGCACAAACTATACATCAGTATTCTCCTCTTCTCTGAGCCTCTGTTACTAGTGTGTATAATGAGAAGGGTTGGAACTTTACTTGATCTCTAGACTTTCAGTTCTAATGTCCTCCATTGCTCTACTTTTGAGTTTGCCCTTTTTGATCCCTGCCCCATCTCTCTTACTTCCAGGCCTTTAGTTTCCAGTTCCAAATCTATACATTTCAATTCCATCCCATTTGTATTTTGGAATTCCACCCTTTGAATTTCGCACACGCTATCTCGTCGCTGAATAAAGACAAGTCATTAAAAAACAATTTGAGGACGAACGCTTGCAGACGGCAGGACACCATGGCCCCAGAAAACGTCGCCACCGCCCAGAGCGTTGCATGCCGGGAGTTGTAGTCCGACGCTCGAGCACGCACCTCCGCGCCTCTCCAGTTTGAAAAGCGGGACCAGGGCGGCTGGGCGGGGCGATGAGGCGAAGCGCGCTCGAGGCCCCGCCCCCGCCACCTTCCGCTCGCGGGCTCCCCCTGGGGTGGCGCGCCAGGCTGCGGAAGGGGCGTGGCCTCAGTCCCGGGTGGCGGCGGTTGCCGCCACCGGGGCCTCTTCCTGCGGGCGGTGCTGCGGCGGCCGGCCTGCGCGGGGCAGTCATGGTCGCCCCTTGAGTGGGCTGTGGCGGGGAGCGGGGCGGGGCCTGGCTGGAGAGGGGCGGCCCGGCGCGGGCGGGGGCGGGGCCGGCCTCTGGCTCCTTCTTCCTCCGCATGTGGCTGGCGGCCGCAGAGCAGTTCGGTTCGCGCACTCCTCGCCGCCCGCGCCTCCTTCGGGCTCTCCTCGCGTCACCGGAGCCATGGCGTTCGCCGAGACCAACCCGGCGGCATCCTCCCTGCCCAACGGCGATTGCGGCCGCCCCGGGGCGCGGCCCGGCGGGAACCGGGTGACGGTGGTGCTGGGCGCGCAGTGGGGCGACGAAGGCAAAGGCAAGGTGGTGGATCTGCTGGCGCAGGACGCCGACATCGTGTGCCGCTGCCAGGTGAGGCGACCGGGCTCTGACGCGAAGCCGGGCCCGAGAGCGCGGGCGCGGAACCCGGATCCGTCGTCCAAAAGGAGGTGTCACCTTGAGGTTCTCTCCTGCTCGGAGCTGCGGCGACGTGGAGAAATGGCGGGAGGTCAGAGACCCCTGACCCGAGGGGTTGGGGTGGCTCTGGAGGAAAACGAGGGTTGACGGGGAGTCTTTGGGAGACGCGCGACGCCTCGGGGGCTGCGGTTTTGGGTGTGGGGGGCAGTGCCCAGCCCCGGGTCTGGGGCCGGGGTGGGGACGGGATACGGTCCGAGTTTGAGACGCTCCCGC